CAAGGAAGGGGGAGGAGGCGGAGGAGAACCAGCAGCGACGGCGCCCGCCCGAGGGTAGTCGCACAGAGGCTCCGGGTGGATGGAACACACGTGCCGGGCGTGCCTGCCCCAGAGCTGCCCCGATGCGCTCGTTCTGAAGCGCAACGCGCACGGTGTTCCAGATGTCCGTGTGAACGCGCTGCGTGTTGGCTCGGCACGTCTTGGCCAATGCTTGGGCGAACGTACGGCGCCAGACCTACGGTTTCAGTCCACGTGTTGAGCTCCGTGTCAGCGCGCAGCGGGCTGCGTCTTACGCATCGGGGCGGCCGAGGTCTGCCTCTGGTGCCACCGCCGGCAATTGGGCTCGCCCGCACCGAGGGGAGGCAGCCCCCCCCGATCTCGGCCACCACGGAGGCCAGCTAGAGCACCACCACCGCCAGGATCGGAGATCCCCGAGGAGGACCACTTGTCGGCGGCGAGCGAGGGGGGGAAGCGAGAAGGAGAAGGCCTTCTCGGAAGGCGGCGGGACTCCTCAGAAGCCCTCGCGCCCTTCTGGGAAGCCTTCCGTGCCCTCGGGGGAGAGCTTCGACAGCTGTTCAGAAGGCCGCGGGACGTCCGAGCCCTCCGAGACGGCCCGCCCCGTCTCACTCCCCCCCCCCCGCCCGGGCGCGCCGCCGAGCTCGAGACCACGGCGGCTCTCCCGCCGTGCCCAGGTGTCCGCTCCAGGTCCGCCCCGGGAGGGGCCCCCTCCCGTGGCTCGGGCCGGACGAGAGGGGGGGGGGATGGGGAAGGGGGGATCAAACGACGCGAGGATCGGGACAAATTCGGATCGGGATAACTCGAAATCTCTGAGGATCGGCGGGCTTGGAGGATGTATTGGGCGCCGCGGCCGCTCCAGAGCGTTCCGGAGCGCTCTGAGAGCGCTCCGGAACGCTCTGGAGCGATTTATCCCGATCCTAGCCTTGTTTTAGGGGGGGGTCACGAAAGTTGCTGCGTGCAGCTGGGTTCGGCCCCGCCGCCGGGCCCACTCCTCGATACGTGGGCGCCCCCGGCGCTGGGAGGCGCCTGGAAAATCGGCTACGTGAGCTGATTCTCACCCCCCCCCTTTGCTATCCCCCCCCTTGTGCCCGAACCGAGTGCTCCCATCCTGACCACTGCTTCGAGGCGGGCCCAGCCGAGGCGACGACGAGAAGCTTTCGGGAGGCCCAGTAAGGACCAGAAACGCAGGGGAGGGCAGCCGCCGTCTCGACTGGGCCCTCTCCGAGGATCAGCCCGCCCCTCGTCGCGTGTGGCGCCTCCTCTCGGCAGTGGTGCCAACGTGCAGACCCTCCCAATAGGAGCACATGGCCGGCCACGCCCTCGGCCTCACGGGATGGACGAAGCTGCCCGAGAACAAGGAGGACGCGATCGTCCGGGAGCTGCTGACCGGCGGCCCGCTCTACGTCGCGGTGGCCGCTGGCGACGGCTGGTTCGACTACAACTCGGGAGTGATGACGGAGGACTCGTGCGACAGGTCGGCACGAGGGAAATCTCAGAGGCGGGCGAGTTGAGACAACGGTAGTTGGCCTTCTGGGGGGGCCCTCGTCGCCACGGCTGGACGCAGCTCGGGAGATTGGTGCGTTTGGATCCTCGGAGGGTTCCGGCGACCGATTGTGAGCTGCCGTTATCTGAACTCGCCATGCTCCGATAATGTGCACCACCAGGTCGACGTTCGAGACCGGGGGCCTTCGGTAGCAATTCATGGGAGCTTTGTATGACCTGGGAATTCCGTTTCTGGCGTGCACTAGCGCGTGCTAGCATCTGACAGTCGATGAGACGAGCCCCGATTTGACGTCGATCTGGTGTCGATTAGCGTCTTTGAGCGTGTTAGCGTCGGTGGGTGTCGATCCGCAAGAGCCAGCAAGATGACACGGCAGGGGTTATCCTCGACGGTGTTGTGGCGATTCCGGGGGCCGCCTCCGTTTCGATCTCTTTTTGCAACAAGGGCAAATGGGAGACCGCACGAGGGCAAGTGAAACGAAAACGAGAACAACAGACATATTGTTGTAGTCGATCCTTCTGACACGGGAGGCTCCCATGAGTTGCCAAAGGGGGGGGGCCGGTGGTGCAGTCATCCGCGCGCAAGCCATCTGCGCGCGGCCTCGCGTGAGCGTCCTTTCTCGGGGGTCTGCCTGCCGCGCGGGCGGCCTGCGCGGGCCACTGCGCGAGGTCGCCACGCCTTCCCCATTCAGCAGGGCGCGCTGAGTCCGCGAGCGCGAGCTGCTGATGCCAAGCCGCCCCCTCGGCGGTTTACCTCGTCCTCTTCATTCGTACTGTGTTTATCATGGTTTTGCTTACTAGTTTTACATTATCATGACCAGTTGTTGGAGTACTAGTTTTATAAGTAGCAGTGTTCGCAATGTGCTGTTAATACTGTGTCCAACCCTCCTATGTGTTGGGCCCTTGATTCGTGAAAAGAGAACTGTGGTCTTCAGTCCTCCTTCCTCCCACCTCCTTCTCCTCCCTCCTGCCTCCTGCCTCGTTGTTGTCCTTCCCCGTACCTTTCCTACTGGGGGGCTGCGTAACCGTCGCCACTTTCGTGGACTCGTGGATGGTCCAGCGGAGTGGAGCTATACGCAGACCCACGGTTGACCTCGCTGCTCCCCGGGAGGCTGCGAACTGCGCAACCGTCGCCACTTTCGTGGGCTTCTGGGAGGTCCAGCGGAGCCGGGGGCCATGCAGACCCATTTGGGACCTCGCTCCTCCCTGGGAGGCTCCGAACTGCGCAACCGTCGTCACCTTCGTGGGCTCCAGGGAGGTCCAGCGGAGTCGGGGGCCACGCGCACCCATTGGGGACCTCGCTGCTCCCTGGCTTGCTGCGAACTGCGCAACAGTTGCCACTTTCGTGGGCTCCTGGACGTTCCAGCGCGGAGTCGGGCGCCACGCGAATCTAGCCGAGACCTCGCGGCTCCCTGGGAGGTTGCGAACTGCGCAATTGTCGCTATTGTCGTCGGTGGCTCCTGAGAGGCACGGCGCAGCTGAGGGCAGCATATCTGGCGATGTGTTCTTCTGTACGGAGCGTTCACACAAAGATCCGCTCCCGTGGAGCGGCAGCTGGGTACGTCTCGGGTCATTATTCTTCTCTCCGCCGCTCGCTTGGACCGCTCAGGCCCGTTTGGGGCGCGGAGTCTGGTGCGCGAGCGCTCCCGGCGTGGCCCGGAGGACTCGCGTGCACCAGGTCCTGGGCCCCGAGCTGGCCCGAACGGGCCTGGTGGAGCGTGCGCTCCTGCCTCCCGACAGGGACTTCATCGTGAACCACGCCGTGGTCCTCTTCGCCTGGGGCGTGAAGCAGAAGACCGTCCGCGGGCCGGTCAAGTACTGGCAGATCAAGACCGGGGGCTGCTAGAGGTGCCCCTGGCCCAAGGTGCCCTCAGCTTTCCGCTGCATTTTGGAGCCTCGCCACTGCTTTGCCTGTGGCCGCAGCTTGGCCGCCGAGCTGGGGCCCTTGGCCTGCATGGAGAGGCGCCTAAATTGGAGCCTCTGGGGCCCTCTGGGCCTCGTGAGAGGTGCTCTGGGGGCCCTGGGGGGCCTCCCTGGGCTGGGGGGCACCTCCAGCAGCACCCAGCAAGAACTCCTGGGGCCCGCAGTGGGGAGAGAACGGCACGGGCCGCTTCATCCGGTCGGACCACGAGGAGAAGGCGCTCCAGGGTGGGAGGAGGAGGAGGAGGAAGAGGAAGAGGAAGAGGAAGAGGAGGAGGAGGAGGAGGAGGAGGAGGAGGAGGAGGAGGAGGAGGAGTAAGAGCAGGAGAAGGAGGAGGAGGAGGAGGAAGAGGAGGAAGAAGAGGAGGAGGAGGAGGGGGAGGGGAGGGGGAGGGAGGGCAAACACGACGAGGAAAGAAAGAGATGAGTGGAGGGAGGGAGGGAGAGGGGGAGGGAGGGCAAATACGAAGAGGCGCGGAGGGCGAGGGAGGGCAAACACGAGGAAGGAACGTCGGCGCCGCTACGACGCTAAGCCATCCGGGGTGTTGAAGCAGCCTGGTTCAGGAAGATGGAGGGAGGGAACAAAATACGATGAGGAAGGAAAGAGATGACAGGAGGGAGGGTAGGGGGAGATGAGATGTAAAAGAGCGGCGGGTCGCAGTGAGGACGCCTGGTGGCGGCAAGGAGAAGGAGAGTGGGAAGGATACACGTCGGTCGTTGAAAGTACTTCCTAACCCAAGGATCGAGTGGTTTTCCTTTTTCCCCTTCTTCAGGGGGCGGGCGGAAGCCCTACCTACTTCAACGCTTTCCTACTTCCTGTTTCTACCCACTGCTCCCGACCGACAGTCAATAGAGGAGGTGGTGGAGTGCAATCAGGATAAGTTGGAGGATGGGGGGCGAGGAAGACGACGTAGGATGACTGGGAGCGAGTAGGACGACCGACAAGGGTGGGACAGAGGACAAGGCGGAGTGAGAGCAGAAAAGGATAGAGTAGGAGAAGCAGGAGGAGGAGGAGGAGGAGGAGGAGGAGGAGAGGGATGGCGGCGAGCAGGATGAGAAGGGGCGCCGAGGAGGAGAAGGTGGTGGTGGTGGAGGATGAGGAGGCGGAGGAGGAGGAGGAGGAGGCGCCCGGACAAGAAGAGAAGAGAGCGAGCAAGAGGAATAGAAAGAGATGGGGGAGGAGAGGAAGAGGGATAATCAGAGGGCGAGGGAGAAGATGTGACATGCTAGCTGGGAGGAGCGGAGAAGCAGGCCGGCCAGGAGGAGGATGTCAAGCCGGGGGGGAGGCCGAGAATAATGAGGGGGGAGGAGGAGGAGGAGGAGGAGAGGAGGAGGAGGGGAGGAGGAGTCTAGTCATAAGGAGGGGACGCGGAAGGGGAAGACAAGGATGGCCATGATGAGGGGAGGAGAGCGAGCAGGATAAGAGGATCAGGAGGAAGATGAGGAGGAGTAGGAGGAGGAAGAGGAGGAGGAGGAGGGAGGAGGAGGACAAGGAGGAGGAGGAGGAGGAGGAGGGGGAGGATAATGAGGAGGAGGCGGAGGAGGAGGAGGAGGAGGAGGAGGAGAGGGAGGAGGAGGAGGAGGAGGAGGAGGAGGAGGATGTGGAGGAGGGGTAGGAGGAGGAGGAGTTGGAGGAGGAGGAGAAGGAGGAGTTTGAGTTTGAGTTGGAGGAGAAGGAGGAGGAGGAGGAGGATGCTGTTGATGATGATGATGATGATGATGAAGACGATGATGGTGATAGTGATGGTGATGGTGATGGTGATGGTGATGGTGATGGTGATGATGATGAGGTGGAGGAGGAGGAGGAGGAGGAGGAAGAGAGTTGGAGTTGGAGAGAGGAGGAGGAGGAAGGAGAAGGAGGAGGAAAGAGGGAGGAGGAGGAGGAGTTTGGAGTTGGAGGAAGAGGAGAAGACGAGAAGAGGAGAAGAGGAGAAGAGGAAAAGAGGATGGGGAGGAGGAGCAGGAGAGTGGAGGAGGGGTAGGAGGAGGAGGTGAGGAGGAGGAGGAGGATGCGGAGGTTGGAGGAGGAGGTGGAGGAGGAGGAGGAGGAGGAGGAGGAGGAGGAGGAGGAGGAGGAGGAGGAGGAGGAGGGATTGGAGGAGGAAGAGGAGGAGATGAGGAGGAGGATGGAGGACGAGGAGGAGGAGGAGGAGGAGGAGGGGGAGGAGGACGAGGAGGAGGAGGAGGAGGAGGAGGAGCGGGAGGGGGAGGAGGTGGAGCGGAGGAGGAGGAGGCGGAGGAGGAGGAGGAGGAGGAGGAGGAAGGAGGAAGAGGAGGACCAGGCTGCGGCTGGGACGAGGACCCCCAGTCGGGTCGGGCTGCGACGCGACGGCGGCCCGAGAGGTCCGTCATCCTCTCCCTTCCCTCCCCCCATCCCTCCTCCCTCCTCCTCCTCTCCCCCTCCTCCTCCCTCCTCTCTCCCCTCCCTTCTCCTCGTCCTCCATCCCCCTCCTCCCCACTTCCCCCCTCTCCTTCCTCCTTCCTCCCTCCTCTCCCCCTCCTCCCTCCTTCCGTTTCTTTCCTCAGGCTCGCCCCCCTCCGCCTGGCCTCCTTTTCAGTGCTCTTTTGTTTGTTGCCTCCTCCCTCGCTCCGCACTCTTCCGCATCATCAGCTCTTACCCCATCGAGATAGCTCCTCCCTGTCGCACCTATGCGTGTGGGTAGGTTGGGCCAGGCGTTTCGTTTCAGACTTCCCCATCACTGGTAATCCTGAGGCTTGTATTCTGTAACAGGTTCAAGGATCGAGGGCGCGTTGTTTTCAAGATGGGCCTCGTGCCAATGCGCCGCATACATAAGTAAACAGCGTGCAGCAGCTTGATACATGGAGGGCATGCCGTGTATGAGGCTTTCGCTTGGGCGCCGCGTACACCTGTCTCATCACTTGCAATTGCGCAAAAGGTTGAAGGCGTGTTGTGGTCAAAGCGGGACTCTCGCCTCAGCGCCGCGCACTTTCGCTCTAAACGTACGCAGACATCGCAAGAATGGACGGCCGACCGTGTTCAAGATGAGGTTCTCTCTTGAACACCGTTCACAGTGTTTGGACTCGCCTCTGGCAACATAGGGGTCTCGCTGGGGACGTCGTAAACTTGAACGGCTCGAAGCTTCAACACATGCAGCTGCAGTCAGAAGATGCAAGGCAGTTCTTTTGAGGATAGACCCTCGCCAGAACTGGCGGGCCCAAGTGCAGCGGGGCTCAAGCTTCAGGGTCATAAGTGGTCAAGGGTCACATTCCGACTACCTTACAACTTCTTTCCAACCCAAACCAAAATCTGTCCAGATGTCTTCTCCACCTGAGTGGTGGGCCGGTGCTTTTGAGGATCTGTTGAAGAAGGCAGTTTGAAGAGATGTACCGGATCTTGAACCCCATCAGGCGGGACGTCCAGGGCATGAAAACAAACATATCTCAAGTCTAAGAGGGTCAAAGGGACTTGGACTCCAGGGTCCGTGCAATCGAAGGTGGTTCTTCTTCAACTTCCCAGTTCACCCTGACCTACGTGGACATCGTCGGATTCTGCACGTTCCAGCAGCGGGACACGCTGGGCGTCGACAGGACTGAGACGGCTGCGATGGTCGAGAAGTTGACGAATGTTCTTCATCCAGATCTTCGTACCCATGTTCGTGATTTGAAGCTTCGGTCGGGCAAGAATCATTATATTCGAATCTCCCTGTCACCCGATTAGCTGGAAGAGGTCAAAAACAATTTGAACGATTATTTCCAGGACGCCAACAACAAATACAAGGGGCAACATCGACTCAGGGCTCGCGCGCAACCTCATCCCGACGTGCTCAAGGCGTGGCAGGTTTTCGGGAAGTTGTCGGCGATTGGGCAGCCGACAAACTACCTCGCACGACGGAGCCACGGGTGACTTGGGGACCATATTTTACAGTGACGGTCGTTACTTCTACGGAAGAGGGGATGATGGGAGTCAAACCTACTACAGAGCTCTGCCGGGTCTTGCGCGGGGGTGCTATCCAGCGGGGTGCGGAGGGCACTCGAGCGGCGCAGTTCCGTGACGAGGCCGAGGCCATGGCGTCGTTCACAGGGTACCGCAGGTGGCGATAGGGGGGCCCGCCACCTAATTCGGGACCGGCTTTGAGGTCTGTTTCGGCTGCGATTTTCAACGCGCACAAAAGACCCCCTTTGCGAAGCAAGGCGGATCGCACGTGGTCTGAAACAGTAGGGCATGGGTTCTGCTGTTATCTGTCTTCAGGAAGTTCCCCGCTGGACCAATGGTAGGGCGCTGACTGGGACCGGCTTTGTCGTCTACTCAGGCCGCGCCAGGGCCGACGAGACTGCCCAACGGGATGGATTCAATTGTGGCTTTTTGGTTCCCCAGAGCCTGAATCCGAGAATCAGAGGGGCGCAGCATTCGCGGTGCTGGAGCGGAATGGTTTTGAACATGGGCGACTGCGTCAACATGTGAGTTTCCAGTGTTCATTTTATCCCTAAGGGCCGCGATGAGGATTCATAGTATCATGCCAGTTTCTTCGAGGAGGCCAGAGCGGGGACCATGGAGTATTATGACCGTTGCGTGTCCCAATATGGATCTAAGTTGCAGATGGTGGTAGGCGTCGATGCCAACGTCACGCTGCCGCGAAACATCGACGGGGTGACCGGGGCAGCACTGCGACCACCTCTGCCGCCCCATGCGCTTTCGATGCAAAATGATGATATTTCTTGGTTGCGCGTGCTCGGCGCACGGTCTTTGAACACTTATGGAAACGGGGAGTTCCTGGACGATTTGTGGACTTGCGGTTTGAAGCGCTGCGCGGCCGCCAAGTCGCATATCGACTGCGTCGCAGCATCTTCAAGCTTCACTGGGACTGGGAAGGCTTTGGATTTCTTGGACCTATAGTCCAAGCTGGCGCTCGCGACCAAGATGGACCATCGGCCTGTCATCGGGCACGTCGGCTGGGAAAACCTCGCGGAGAACAGCGTTGAGCACGCGGGCCGGTACCTAACCCAGAAATCCCAGGGCCCACCCAAAGGTGGTTTCACTGACCCTCGCGTTCTTCACTCTTTCCCAACCTCCATGGTTAAGCCGGACGTTCTGGGCACTCGCGCGCGCGTTTGAAGATTGTTTCCGCGGGGCGGCCGAGATAAACGCGAACAACAATCTTCGAGGGTGGTCGACGCCAAGGGCGCAATCCGACAACATCTACGCGCCCTGCGTCTTCGGCTCCGAGTAGAAACAAAGTAGGATTCGATGAACTGTTTTGGTCGGCGGCCGCGCGACTGCGGTCCGGCGGCAACAAGCGTGTCCAGGGCGGTGGCACAGGCGAATTGCACACTTGCACAACAAGCGTGCAGTTGCACATGCACTGAACAAAATGCTTTGCATTCAAAGGGAAACCAACAACTAAAGGCGTGGCAGGCTGAACCACGCGGCGCCCAGACCTCAGCAATCCACCTCCAGGTGCCAGGCGAAGCAATGCGGCTGTGCCAAGGCGCAACTGCGATGCCGATCCCTGAAGCGAAGTGATCCGCAAGCGTGGGGGGGCACCGCCGTCTAGTGGCGACGCGCCCGCGCAGCCTGCCAGGGGGGGCCCTGCTGCAGTGGAGGCAGCGGGGGCCAGAGGAGTGAGTCGCCTGCGGGGCGCCAAATTCCGAACGCCCGCGACGACGTCTGCAAGCCAAGCAGCTGTCGCGGAACTGGTGCGGCGCACTGGCCGGCAGCTGGTGGGGGCCTGGGCGTTGTCTTGCCGCGGAAGGTTGAACCACTCCGTGGCGACCCAACACCCGAGTGACCATTCCACAGGGCAAGGGGGGAACAAGCGACTGTGGACACGCTGCGTGCCAGCACGGCGCCAGGCCTCAGAGAGTAGGGGAGAGTCCGCAGGCGGGGGCGCGCCGCCAGCGGAGGAGTGAGGGGAAGGGCGGCACAGGTGGTAGTGCTGCCTCCTGCGGTGTCAAAGGGCTGTGCCGGGCGGCAACGCCCCGGCGAGGCATCCCGACACAGTAACCCTCAATGTCGGTGAACACCATCGACATTCCGAGTACCACAGTGACAACCTGCTGCGGAGGGGCCCACCAATGCCAGCCGCGTCTGTGCGGTGCGAACCGTGGATGGGGGGTCCTCTGAGCAGCCTGCCCGCCCGGCCACCCGCTCTGGCTACTGCAGCCGCTGCGGGCGAGCCCTGGAGGCACAGTGGAGGACGCCACCAGGCCACGCAATCGGCGCCGCCCCACACCGCGGCCGGCATGCAACCCTCAGAGCGCGCCTGGCCGCGGAGAGGGGGGGGGGGGGGGGGGGGCGCAGCTAGCTGCGGCAAGATACACGTAACTTGATGGCAGCTGCACGCCGAGAGCGTCTATATGCGCGCGCGTGTGCGTGCGTGTGTGCGTGCGTGGCGCGCGTGGGTGGGTGGTGGTGGTGGGGGGGGGGGGGGGGGCAGCTAACCGCCGCTGAAGACGCATAGAAAGATGGGGGGTGGCAGGACAACGCCGATGCAGCCCGAGCTGGAGCGCGCCAGCGTCGGACGCGCCACATGGGGGGTACATTCGCAGCAGTCTTACGCAAACAAAGCAATCCGTGGAGGGGGGATCCGTGGAAGGGAGCCGATGTCGGCACTGCAGTGGGTGCAGCCGTCGGGGCTGCTGTCGGCGCTCTCGATGGAGTTGCTGTCGGCACTGCCGTCGGCGCTGCAGTGGGCGCAGCCGTCGGAGCCGCCGTCGGGGCTGCTGTTGGCGCTGTGGTCGGAGCTGCTGTTGGAGCTGTCGTTGGAGCTGCTGTTGGCACTGCCGTCGGCGCTAAAATGGGCGCAGCCGTCGGAGCCACCGTCGGAGCTGCTGTTGGCGCTATCGTTGGAGCTGCTGTCGGCGCTGCCGTAGGTTCTGCAGTAGGGGCCGCCGTCGGGGCTTCTGTTGGCGCTACAGTTGGAGCCGCTGTCGGCAGTGCTGTGGGGGCCCCTGTGGGAGCCTCTGTCGGAGATGCCGTCGGAGCGGCACTCGGTGCTGCCGTCGGCCTTCCCCCACCACGCGAGCAGCACACGTCCGCCGTGGTGAAGTCGTCGTCGTCATAGTAGGCTCCGGAGTAGCTGCGCATGAACGGGTACGCATCGAACATTCCACCTTGCGCCTCGTTCACATTCGTCGCTCCTCCGTTCGCGTCGAAACAGGGCGGTGCCAGTGTCAGGATTCGAAGAACACGCAGCGAAGTCAATGTGGAAGCTCGTTCGGGATCTTCGCGGCCACCAGCTGCGCAGCAGTCCCCGGGCCATGGAACGGGGGGGCGCCCGCCCAAAGTTCGCTCCAACGTCATTCGGAATTGATCGTCGACGCAGCTTCGACCGGACCGAATGGCACGAGGGCGCCTTGCGTTTCGGGGTGGGGGGCTGTTCTGGAGATGTAGGGAATGGGCCAGACATGCAGATCCAGAGGTGGGGGGCGCTTGCCGGACTTGCCAAAGATCACGGGCAAGGAGAGCCTTTGGAAGTTCGGGGCGCCCCGCGCGCAAAAGCTGAGATTAAGTCTGGGGGGGGGCAGCAGGAGCAAACGGGATTCCCGCGGACATTCGCAAAATATTGCCATTCTTGGGAGTCGCTCGCGCGCGCCAGTAGTTCAATGAATACGCAGGGTCTTTGGACGCATTAGCATTTTCTCCGCGCTGGAAGATTCCCTGGGCCCCCGAAGGAGACGTTCGTTCGATTATTTTTTGATTTACGCTGGATCAGCAAGTCCCCTGCCCCCCGAAAGCGTTTTTTTTTGTTTCTCGGACGCGCCGCGCTCAGATACAACAGCGCGCGATTCCATCCAGGGTTCATTCCCATGGCTTCCTGAAACCAACTTCGACCTATCACCTCACGAGTGTTGTTCGGGAAGTGTTGCATCATTCCGGAGTTTGGAACTCGCCGGCGTCCGCTGGAGCGCAGGACGTGGCAACTGTTTTCGATTCAATGCCGCGCGAGCTCATTCTGGATTCGACGCAAGCCCGTGGGGCGACGACGTGGGATGCAGCGGTTCTTACGAGGGAGCTCACTGGAGTCGAAGCTCGCATCGCCTTGCTGGTAGGGAGCACTCCTCTTTTCAGCTCCTCCCGCGGCGGCAAGCAAGGGGGAGCGGGGGCGCCAATTGAATGGAATGCGCTTTCGCAGCACGTTCTTCAACCTGTCGTGGACAAACGGCAATCTCTCGGCATGGGGTTTTCACTGCCAGACGGGGGCGGGAATGCAGAATATCTGATTCATCATGCGACCTGAGCAGACAACGCGGTCCTCGTCGCTACCACCTTCTCCGCGATGCAGTCTATGATCCATGATTTGGACGCTGCTTCTGGGCAGTTCGTGGATGCGCATGTGGAGCTCTACTTTCGATGGAAACCTTCTTCGCTGGAGTGCATCCTGGGGGGGCGGCCGCCGGCGACTCGGCAACTCCGCCAGGCGACTTGGCGATCGCGCAGGCGGGGAAGCTTCTGGCGCATGCAGACACCGACCGGGTGGAACTGCTGGCGAGTCTCGAATTCAACCTGAGCCGGGCGGATGGGCGGAACGTGCTGAACAAACCAGGGCTCAGCATTACGAAGCGGCTGAGAGCGTGGACCAGAGGGCCGTCGAGTTTGGCATTGTATGAGTGCAACACGCGGCATGTGACCCCATGGGTTACTTCACAGCGCGGCGCCGGGAGCTTGGACTTCTACGGGAAGCTTCCCGGCTAAGACGGAGGCCGGGGCAGGGGGCGTCATCTCACTGCACGCAGCGAGGTTCATCGAATTATGGACGAAGCGCACTGGTACACTTACGATTTGGTCTCGGATCTTAAAGCATGTCTTCAAAAGCGCGTGGAAAGAAAAGTTGTATCCTTTTGGCGATGGCCAATCACCTGTTCAACATCTACACGGTTATCTCAGCGAGTTTTGGTGGCAAGCGACGGCGGCGATCACGACGCAGAGCAAAAGGAGGAAATTGGGACTTGTGCGCCGCTGCTGTGGACACCAGCCCACCAACTGGGAATGCGTAGTCGTTGCTGTTTGGGGGGCGACCTGGAGGGGTCGGCGGGGCCAGTGCCACGCGGTCTCTTCGTGGATGAGCATTTTCCCAGAGTTTCTTCAACGGGTCGGCACATTG